CTATGATGCAGATCATCCAAATTTTACTATGTTTTACAACCTCCTATAGATCGGCGGGAAATGTCATGCGACTATTATCATTAATTAATTCGTAACACGTTAATATTCATTTAATTTTATTTAAACAAGTTTGTTTCTTGTTAAATTAAATATTTTTTTTTAAATAATAAATGAATGAATTCCAAATTGTTTTTCTAGTGGCGATGCTAATACTAAATCAATAATGGATTAATTTCTTGCTGGTATTTTTAGTAGTAGGAGAGGTTTTTTTTCAAAAAAAGCTTAATTAATTTTCTTTAACAACACATTTTTGGAAAAGGCTTGATTTTAATCAAGCGATTTCTTTTTCATTTGTTTTTTACTTATAAATACAACCTCTGAATGTTTTAAAAAAAATTGGGAGAGTGATCATGATCAATGATCAAAAGATTTATACAACGCAATCAATTTTGTGAAACGAAAATTTTCCTTTTCTTTCGAAAATTTCCAGAGAGAGATAGTATTGTTGCCAATTCTTTCTAAATATTACCAAAATATTGCCAATCTTTTCTAAATTGTTACAAAGTATGTTGCACTGATTTGATTGAGTTGTATTCTTTAAATCTCATGTATTAGTATATGAAATCGGGTAAACAAATAAACAATTCAGCGCAATAAATTGTTTTGACAGTTAAAACCATAGTGGTTATATCCGCCGAATGGTGTTCACCGATTATTCACCGATTGTTCGATTAATCGGGTGTAGAAATTTTCAATGATAATAATTATTAATATTAATTGATCGGGTATTGAAGACTTTCACCAGTCGGAACCCTATCAATGAGAGATGATAGATACTACCATTTGTAGCTCCTTCAACAGCCAAAGTTGTCTGATAATATATAATTTCATTATAAATTCCATCATAATATTATTAATAAAACAAGCATTACTCGCCTTAAGCTCAAGATCATCTATAAATTTTTCTTCCGACTTCAGTCAACCCCTTGGGGTTTTCCAATTCTTCCAATTCAAAATACATCTATTATCTATTCATTGTAAAATTTTTGATCGACGGATCATTATTTATTTATGACGAAAAAAGACTTATTAAAAAATTGCAGATGTTAAAGTCATCTTTGTCATTATTTAAAAGTTCAATTAGAATTCTTTTTGTAAGGTTGCCATCAATCATTTTGATGTATAAATAAATATAACATACGAAACATATATATCATATATCGCTTGATTCGTAAAGGAAAAAATCTACATGGTAAATTCCGGGATAAACATCATAGTAATAACCATTGTTTCGTCGCGTTTCAACGGGTTTTAAAAATCTATAAAAATCCGTTGAAACATATTGATATCGACTAAAATCGTGCAGATCTTTCATTGAAGAAAGATTTTGCGAGAGTTTTATTAAATGTCCAAAATTATGTATTATATGTATTTTTAACTGCTTTTACAAACCTATCAAAAAATAGCCAATAGTTTCAAATTATAATCATAAAGTTACCAAAAAAATAGACCCTCAGCCTAACATTTCTCCTGCTTTCAAAATCTACCATGCCTCTAAAGTTGGTGTCTGCGACTAATTTGGATTCTGAAACCAATTGCAACCTAGGTTTAAATTGTAACTTCTTAGTTGCAAACACCAACTTTACACGCCTCAATAATTCTTGGTTTAAATATAACTGCTTGCCGTGATAGTTATTTTAATATATACATGAACAATTTTCCCACTATTATATGTATTGTTGGTTTTTTCTGGATATAAATAAATTCACTAGCTACCGTTGTGGTTATTAAAGAAATAAATTTGTTTGTTTTTTACATTTAATAATATTATTATTTATTAATAAAGATAATAAAGATAAATTTTGCAAAAGTAATCTTTTGGGATACAATCTAATTATTTTATGTACGAATATCCAATGCCCATTAAATAGCAAAAAACCGGTTAAAGGTAAGAAGAATAATGATAATAATACGATGATCATCGTTATAATATACAATAATCCGATTTTGGAGTAGAAAAAAATACGATGATGCAATTCTCACTTAATGCTGTCCTATTACTATTACGAGGTAATATCCGAGTCAGTCAACAATATCTACGATGCAGTTAAAATTGTTAAATCGAGACTGAATAAACTTCATAGAGTTTGTTTGGCATATCTAATTTTTCTTGATAATAATAATAAAAAAATGTCGCAAAAATTGCCAGCTGGAAAGGAATAATAATAGTAGGCATTCATGATGAAATTCAACATTATTAATCAAGCATAAACACCAAAGATGTTTGGCTGGCATTTTAAGTTTGGTTGGTTGTGAGCATCAAAATATTTGATTACATTTATCTGAGGATTTAGGATTATAATTTATTAATTGATTAACATCTATTATTATATAAAGATAAGAAATCTTGTATTTTTGCCCCAATAATCTTATATATGGAGGAGGACCATTGAATAATTCAAAGAAAAGCGAGTGAATAATATTAATTGGCCGTTGGTGTCAAAACCAAATTATAATAAAGGGAATTCCATGAATGACCAAGGAAATAATAATAATAATTACGATAATCTGAAATAGTAATAGTAATGTTTGTTGTTTATATTGTTTATTATTTGCTTATTGTTTATTTATATTTACATGTATCTTGAGTGGGTGAATTATATTAAATTAATATTATTAATATTTACATAATAAAAAAAATAAATAAATTAATTAATCAATCAATATTAATATTACATATAATAATTTCGATAAATCTAGTAAAAATAATTTGTCATAATAAAAAAAAAAATCTAAAAAAGTGGTGGACATAAAGAAAAATTTATATACAAACTAAGAAAACCCAAATAAAGATTTTCTTTGTTTTCCTTCAAAAAAAAAAATAAATAAATAATATTTATCTTGCGCCACGTGTCCGACGAGTAGATTCTAAAGGAGACATAATTAATCTTTTCATCTTTAATAAATATTCACGGGGCATTTCATTTCTTAATCTTGCTTGACGAATCATTACCTCGTCGTCTAAATCAATCTCAAGTCCCAATGAAATTGTAGAGTTTCGTTGTTGTTGTTGTTGTTGTTGTTGTTGTTGTTGTTGTTGTTGTTGTTGTTGTTGTTGTTGTTGTTGTTGTTGTTGTTGAAGGATATCACTATTACCACCATCAACATTATAATCATTGCTATGATCAACTTTTTTGTTATAATTAATATTACTAATGTCAATTAACACCTTTCTATTGTTATTATGATTATGGTGATTATTATTCATTTATTTACTTTGTGCTTTTAAAAAGTTGCTGTTGTTTGGTGAAATTACCAAATTCATTTGAAAATTGATTTTAATATTGTTATTAAGAAAATAAGAGAAAATTCGAAAAAAACTTGTTTGTTTAATTATTATTAATTTATAATTCCTCAATGGTAAGGTTCGTGTAACAATCAAAATGATGTGAAGTAAATTTAATAATTATTATTTGTTATAATAAGGAAATAAGGATGAACGAGAAAAGTTGACCCCGCAAAATGTTTGTTACAAATTAGGATTCACTTGAGAATAAAAAACAATCATATCAGATTATCTAAAGTCAGGTTAAAACAAGATGCATATTATGTCATTATGTCTACAACGATCTAAAAATTTCGGTTCTCCTAATTATAACCAGCTAAATTAGTTAATATTGACTAGAACTTACCAATATTTCACACCTTACCTGTTTAAAAAAAAATTTTTGAAAAAAAAACTACATATTCGTTTTTCTTGGCACACACAAAAATAACATTGGAAAGGATGAATGAAATAATAATTATTTTTATCATTTATTATGTTATTTTTATTATTATTTATTATCAAATATTAAAAAGTATCATTTATTATTATTATTAATATTAATATTAATATTAATACTAACTAATCAGCCCATTCATTCAAAAACCCTATACCGAAATTTTTATTAAGACACAAATCACGCACACACAACAAATTAGACATGCGCCAAAATT